TTATGAAATAGAGGAAGGCTTGGGCCTCATTTTTTTTTTTTTTTTGTAATAAGGCTTTGGAGCGGACTTCTTCCTTTAAAGAAATAAAGTATTCACATTCTTAAATTTGCTATTTATTCTTCAAAGTGTTTGTTTGTTTTTTTGTTTTTTTGTTTTGTTTTTTTTTTTAATGATGTGACTGTAATTGAAGTTTTGAAGTTTCAAGTTGCCTACGTACCCTTCCAAAGAAGAGATCAAGTCATAATGTAGTTCAAATACAGATTTTTTTGGATTTTTTTTTTTTTGTGTTGTACGCATTTTATGCTCTTGCGGGCCAGGAGCATTGGTGTCGCCTTTTATGCTCGTGCGGACAAGGAGCATTGTGCCATGCAGTTTAGGCTCGTGCAGGTGAGGAGCTTTGGTGTCGCCTTTTATGCTTGTGCGGACAAGGAGCGTTGTGCCATGCAGTTAAGGCTCGTGCAGACGAGGAGTTTTGTTGGTTCGTCAAGCGATCCGGGAGAGTCGTTCCTCGCAATCTTCATAGCAATGAGCCTTGACTGAGTAGTTGAAGAAGTCTTCTGGGAAGATGTCACGCATCGTGATGGGGATGGATGATCTTCGTGTCAAAGTTTCATTATCTCCAACACTTTCACATTGTTCTGGAGGTTGACAGGAGCTGCTTTGCCCCCTTTCCCATTGGTGAACTAATGGAAGAAATGGTTGCTGCCTGGAGAGGTGTTCCTCGCAATCTTTATAGCAAGGAGCCTTGACCGAGTAGCTGAATAATTTTTTAAGGAAAAAGAGATCGCGCATAGTCGATCTTTGTGTTGAAATTTCCTCATCTTCAACACTTTCACATAGTTTTGGAGGTTGGCGAAAACTGTTTTGCCCCCTTTCCGATTGGTGCACTTGTGGAAAAGACATATGCTTTTTGTGCAGTTTCTTCGGAGTGACATGAGTCCATCCTTCAACTTCGCTTGGCTTGACTAGCATGGTTTTGGAGCATGCCCCCAGTGATTGAGGTGAAGATTTTGAGTTGACAGAGCCGGAAGTGACGTCTTCTTCCGGGATTTCATCTTCTTTGTCTTCTTGGGCCTCCTCTTCAGTGCGGTCTTTTTGGGTTTGTTGGCATGAAGATTGGCCGGTGTAAATGATGGTGCGCCTCTTTACCTTCAGTTGTCCTTTTGTGTCGACCTTCAAAGCTGCTTGACGTTTCATCCTTGAAGGAATCAAGCTTTGAACATCGTCTTTTCTTGCTAGACTGTCAAGCTTTTCTTCCTTTGGCGTTGTTTTCCTGTTTCTATAAGGCTTCTTAGTTTCTTCAAGTCTGTCCGCAGCCGATCGTTGCAAAGGAGATCTAGCTGTGCCGTTTTGTTTCTTGGGTTTTGATAACCTTTCAAAGACAGATCTTTGCGGTGTTGGTGTCTTAAGCCTTTTGAATACGGAAGTTCGGTCTCGACCACTGATGCGATTAGGGGTGGTTCGGTATGGGATCCCATACCGAAACCCTTGTCCCGATTCCCAAACCAAAAATTTCGGGAATCCCAATTTCAATACCGATCCCAAACCAAATTTTCGGGAATCCCAATTTTCGGGAATCCCGAAATAGTTTCGGGATTTCGGGATAAATCGGGAATCCCGAAATGATTTTGGGCTTTTGGGCTTTTGGACTAAAATATTATGTTTTTGGGCTAATTAAACCTTTTAACACTTTTGGGTTGCAATCTGCTAAGAAGCCCGTTGCAATATGTGCCAATTGCAAGTTATGTCAATTTAAATGTAGATGCTACAATTGCAAGACTTTGCCAATCTGGATTCAAATGTAGATGCTACAATTGCAAGACTCTGTCGATTTAAATCATTCATACAAAAATATGTGCAACTATTGAAGCCTTCATTTTCTATGGACTCTATCGATCTAAATATATATTTAAAAATTAAATAATATATATATATTTTTTCGGTTCGGTTTGGGAATACCGAAATCCCAAAAACTTGAGACCGATTCCCGTATCGAAATTTCGGGATCGGTTCGGTATTGGGTACCAAAATTTTCGGGAATTTCGATTTGGGATTTTTTCGGTTTGGTTTCGGGAATTTTTCGGTTTGGTTTGGGATTTTTGGGATTTTTTTCCAGCCCTAGATGCGATCAAGTGCCGAAATTCTAGGTTTTGAATGATTCAGCCTGTTGAAGAATGAAGTTCGAGGGGCAGGTTTAGGCTCCTCTTTTGGCCTTGTGGCTTGTGGTCTTAGTTTTCGCGTTTTTTTGTAGGTCACCGATGTCCATCCTTCCTTATCACCGGTAGATGCATCTTGGTTGCTTGCCCCCGGTGATGGTTGTGTATGAGGTGTCGTGTGACTTGAATATTGATGGGATTGGTCATGCATGCTTCAGAGAGGCACATGATCGAGTGATCCAAACACGATAGTAGTAGTGTGTGCCGCAACCGTGTCTTCGAGGTCAAGCTCGATTTTCCCTTGTTGTGCTAGCTTCAGGATGAGATCCTTCAGTACGAAACACTTTTTCGTTGGATGACTGATGAAACGGTGGAATTTATAGTACCTTGGACTATCAATACGATTCATCTCTTTCGGCCGTCTGCACTCAGGTAGGTCGATCACCTTTTTGTTAAGCAAGTCTTTTAACATGGCAACCACATCAGAGTCAATGAATGGATAAGTCTTCTCCTCAAGCTCCTTCAAAGTGCGTCTATGCATCTCTTGATCACGAAAAGCTTCAGCTTGAATCGCCTTGTCTCTTGTAGAGATTTTGACGGAAGCTGTGTTGACCGTCATTGCTTCCTTGATGGATTTCCACGCAGCCTTCTCCATCTTTGTCCCAAGAACTTTGTCGTTCTTATAGTCAGCGATCCGTTTTTTCTTCCTATGATTTGGCGATGCCCAACTCCATGTCATGGGCGCGGGTGGCTAACTCATCAAAGGTACGTGGTTTGATGGCTTGAAGGATGTAATGTAATCCCCACTGCATGCCTTGAACACATATCTCAATCGATGAGGTCTCCGAAATTCTGTCTTTGCAGTCGAGACTTAAAGTGCGCCATCGATTGATATAGTCTATGACTGGCTCATCTTTCCATTGCTTCGTACTCGTCAGCTCCAGCATGCTTATAGTGCGGCGGGTGCTGTAGAAGTGATTAAGGAATTCTCTTTCCAATTGCTCCCAGTTGTTGATGGACTCAGGCTCTAGGTCCGTGTACCACTCAAAGGCGTTTCCTTTCAGCGAGCGCACAAACTGCTTGGCGAGGTAGTCTCCATCCGTCCCCGTGTTGTTGTAAGTTTCGACGAAATGTGCAACGTGCTGCTTTGAGTTTCCTTTTTCATCAAACTGCATGAACTTTGGTGGTTGATAACCCTTTGGCATCTTTAGGGCATCAATCTTCTTGGAGTAGGGCTTCGAGCAAAACAATGAGGTATGTGAGCTCCCTTCGTACTGTGCCTTGATGGTGTTAGTGATCATCTCTTGCAGCTGCTGGATAGAAAGAGATCCTATGAGTGCCGCTGCTTGGTCTGGCTCCGGCTTCACATCGACTTTCTCCACCGGAGGTTCCTCTTCTTCGCCAGCTCCTCTCTTTAGTAGATCATCCTCTGGGTCGGGGTTCTCGCAGTCCTGTGGCTCCGGTCGGCTGATGAGTGCAGTGATTTGCAAGTCTTTTTCTTCCACAATTCGTGTTAGCCTTGCGATCGCTTCATTCATTTGAGCCAGTTGTTCTTCGATGGAGGTAACGTCGATGGTCATGACTTGTGCAACCAATAGACGTGACTTTCATTTAGACATCCAGGATGCTGACGAAGAACGTCGTTGGCTGCTTTGGGATGTCTTGTGTGCCTCAGCAGCATGCTTCAATGCCCCCAGCGAGGTTAGGTTGATGACGGACTTGCGCCTTTGATGCTCCCCTTGCTCTTTTAGCAGCACCAACTTTGAAGTGGCATGTTAAGGAGCAATTGTGGCACCAATGGATTGTCTGTTCGCAACATAAGTGCTCAGGATTCTTCCCTTAGTGGTTGCGAGAATGGCTTGTCCCTTACTTGATGCCATTAACTTTGAGGTGTGTTTGGATTCCTTGAACGGACAAAGAGATAAGAGGTAGAGATGGTCCTACTGGGCGTGCCAAATTTGTGAACGCGAAAATTCCTGCGATGAACGAAACAAGAAAACATGTACAAAAATAATATTTTGTATTAATGATTTAAGGGTTACAATCTCTCTCAAATTTGATCTTCTGATTCGATCTCAGTAAGGTGTTGATTTGTGGATGTGCGATTGATCCAAGGCCCGTCGAGGCTTGATCTTGGATGAACGGTTGAAAGTTTTCTTCAAGGGTCGTTGGGGCTCATTCTTGAAAGTTGAGGGAAGTTTCTTCAAGGGCATTTGGGCTTGATCTTGAAGGTTGATAGATGAACAGATCTTTAAGGCTTTTGGGCTTGATCTTGAATAATTGTTGATGAACGGATCTTCAAGGGCCTTTGGGGCTTGATCTTGATGAACAGTTGATGGATGGATCCTCAAGGGCTTTTGGGCTTTGGTTGGATGTGTGGATTTGTTGATGTTGTTGATCCAAATGGCCGTCGGGGCTTGATCTATGGATGAACGGATGATGAACGATGAACACTTTCTTCAAGGGTTGTCGGGGCTTGATCTTGAATTGGTGGAAGTTCTTCAAGGCCCGTTGGGGCTTGATCTTGAAGGTTGAGTTGACGAAGAACGAAGAGGGCTTTCTTGATCCTTCGGGATTTCTTGGGAATTTAGGAGGTTTGATGCTTGAAAGCTTTAGAACTTCAAAGCTTCAAGGATTTAGGGAATTCTCTTCCAATTTGGGAGTAGAGAAATGTATATGTGAATTCCTTCTTCAATTCCTTTCAATTTTCCTCCCTTGTATGAAATGGCGTCTATTTATAGAATTTTCCAATGCCTAATTTTGAATATAATATTCAGATGAAATAAATCGTTTCTGCCAGGTGTTGACACGTGTCATGTTTGATGATTTTCCGATTTATTTTGATTTTTTTGTTTAGTCACACGCTACGTGTAAAATTTATGTGACACGTAAGCGTTGAAATTTTAATTATCGGTCAACATTTATTTTACCGAAATTTCGATGTCTACAGCTAATATTCTCTCTTTTTTATTGCAATGTTTATGTGAAAATTTTACATTTGTGAGCTTATATATAGAAGGTTTGACATGTGAAAGTTGTGAGAGCTATGTTACCTTCCATAGAATAAGGCTACATGTGTGAGGGTGGATGCAATGGTTACAAAACCAAAGCCATAAGTGAGAGCGAAAAACATGCTTAAGTGAATCCGCCCTTGCTCCTCATACTTTGGAATATCTAACTGAAATTTGTCATCGACTATAGCTGTTATGTTGTAATCTTGACCTTCTGCCGTAAACAAGTGCGAGGAAAAAATGGGGAACTTTTGTGCACTGTATGAGTCCAGTCCCCAGTACGCTATAGGGATAACTAAATAGAGTATCAATGCATACCTCGCAAAAACATTAACGATGACAAGGAAAGGGCAGATGAGGGGGCTGAACAAGAAGGATGCCACTGCCGACCAGTCAAGTGTCAGGGATCCTACTCCGAGGCCTCTCATGCCCGAGCCAATCTGCTGAGCTGTAACTGACTTTGAGAATAGCCAGCAAACCCATGAGATGTTAGTGAGTGTTGTGAAGAGATACCCTGGGAAAGCATACCATGTAAAACTGCAAACTAGAGTAATTAGGAAGAACTTTGCCCGCGACATACGTTGCTCTCATCTTTCTCATGCAATGCCCTGCACGTTAAATATAAAAAAGTAGTTAGCCATCAGCCGAGTGGTGGACAGTAACAACTGATTATCTAACATAGGATGCTATGCACTGAAGATTTTGAAACCACATTGTCATGAATTTACCATGTCGCAATTGGATGTTTAGATGGATGACGTTCAATAGAAAGATAGTGTAGGTTCTGTGGATTACTAAGAAGATAATGAATGTACATGAAGTTAGCAATAATGTGTGTTGAGATTGCAAGCATGTGACAAATGTGGAGGCTATGAATATTTTTGTTAAGGTCTTGAGAAAATATATGAAAACGGATATTTGATGTTAGAATTGAGAATGGAATAATCGTGTCGACTTGATAGAAGTTATTTGTAAATTCTTTGTTTGTCTTTGTAATGATCATGTAATGCATTTCAAATCTCTGTATCCTAAATCCCTTGGTATTTGAGAAATCACTCATCCAAACTTAGGGTTAGGGTCACATGGTCCCCAAATTGGATTGGGTAATTCTTATGGTTCAAGGGTATGTATGTTTAAGTAAGAATGGAAAGTAGATGTGAGGGATTTATTAGTTTGTAGGAATTAGAGCAACTCCACCCATGGAGTTTGCTCGGGGGACAGGCTCCAGGAAAGGACCCGAGGGCCAGTGGGAGGTGGTCCAGCGTTGAAGGGCCCGAGTGAGGGTGGGAGCCTGAGTTGCAGGCCTGTGGAAAATTGACAGGCCTGCTGCCCGAGGGGGGAGGCGTCATGCTGACGCAATGGAGAAAAAAAAAACCATTTTTTGTGTCAAGCTGGGTCCGGCCTTTTTAATTTTTTTTTGATCTATATGCATTATTTTCACTTTTTCTGATAGGTGTTGTATTACAGGAAGAAAAAAAAACCATTTTTGTTTTCATCATTACTTTCTTGGCAAAAGAATTAAAGATATTATTTTTAGATACAATGACACGTGGCGCAACAAAAACGATTTAAAAAATCTTATCCGAAATAACAAATAATTTTATTTTGTATTATTTAAACAAACAAAAAAAACTAATATTTTATTGCCTATTGCCAGGGGGAGGGCTCCAAAGGTGGAGATGCAAATGACAATTACTGTTCATTAATGGCAGTTACTATTCATTAAAGGCAGTTACTGTTCAATGGGGTGGATTCAATAGTGGATTGCCAAGGGGGAGGGCTCCATGGATGGAGTTGCTCTTAGAGGCTAAGTTATAAGGTGTTGAGATCCTTTCGTTTTGTACGAATTAGAAGTGGCGAGTGTTATTGATGAGTCATTCATCTTCCACCGTCAACTTGGACACAATATTTTTCATTTCTTCCTACGATATATTTTGAAATTAACGAGTTGTACATTTTAGATGCTAAACAAGCCCATAATACTTTAAATAAAAAGTACTATTTCATCTCCAGACTATAGTATTTAGGAAAATGGAAAAACTTGTCCTGTTTCAATTTCAAAATGGTTTAACAATTAACACTTAAGGCCCTGTTTGGCACACCATATAAGGCACCCGATAGTACTAATAATATTGTGTACGATGTTTGGTGGCCGTTTGGATTAAATAGGCACCGGATTAAATAATCCGGGCCCACCATTTTAATACACTCCGCACCCGCTTAGCTATCCTCTCCAATAGGTTGGTATAATTAGTCGGGTTTGCGCTCCTTCTCTCCGACCCTCTCTGCTCTTGCCCAACGCGAACTCTCTCCACCAAGGTATTACTGCTCTGTCTCTCCCTCCTTCCCAACTGCCAGCAGAGGCTCCGGCGACGGAGGAGCCCAAGAAGGAAGAAAAGGTAGCTAGGCAGACGAAACCCAGGTTTTCAATTTTTTGCTTCTGGGTTTTCATCTTCTCCATCTTTTTGCTTCTGGATTTTCAATTATGGTGCTCGAATTCAAGATTTCTGGTCACGTTCTTCAACTTTTGCATATGGAGGAAGACTTTGGTGTGCAGCTAAAAAGTTATTGATTTGAGTTGGCTTGTTGAGGGTGAACATTTCTGATTTGCTTCGGAAAAGGAGACCTAGTTGCCATCTTCTCCTATTTGGTGTATCATGTGTGAAAGGAAAGGAGATGATGGAGATCATTTGTTGTCCACTGTCTAGGAGCTTTAAATTTGTGATTCTTATTATTTGGACAGGCTGTAATGAGTTGGGTAAATTTTAGAAGGGTTCCAATCACAATTAGTAAAAGTCTGGATGCTTTTGGTAGAGGTAATAAGGCTAGACTGCTGAGGGGCTGCTGCAGGATGGCTATTTTGTAGGGTTTACGGGTGGAGAGGAACATGAGGATTTTTGACATTTTAAGGGGGGTGGGGTAGAAGAGCCTTCACAATGGGTGAGGTTTTTGTTGTCTCTTTGCACTGGTGTCATCAAAGTTCTGGAGGATTAACATGTTCTTCTCTTTTGCTCAATTGGAAAGTTGCTATGAGATAACTTGGTTGTTGTACCTTTTGATTTTTTTTCTTCCCTTTTCTTATCCGGTTCAGTACCAAACACAGTATAAATAATACGATCATTAGTCCGATACTGCACCAAACGCCCGACTAATTTAGTCAGTACTATCCGGTGGCTATTTATCCTATCCGACAGAAATAATCAGTACAGTCTGTGCTGCCAAACGAGGCCTAAGTGACTTCAAACCTCTGGGTTTATGTTTATAATGGGGAACACACTTCAAACCTCTGGGTTTATGTTTATAACGAGGAACACACCCTTTTTTTTTTCCGTTTGCGTATTTCTGTTTAATCTTCTATGTTGTTTCCGTTTGATTTATTTAATTCGTATGACCCGAAATTAAAAATAAGAAGAAGAAGAAGAAGGTGGTTTTGTAAGAAAGAAAAATATGTAGAAAAATCAACTTCTCCAAGGCATTTTGTTTTTTTTTTTTTTTTTTTTTTTTTTTTTTTAAGAAAGTAGGAAGGACATACCGGAAAAGTGAAACCTGTACAAGTGTATTGGGCCACCACATATAAGCAGGCTCCACAACATACTTCCTTAAAAGCCCAGCCCAGCCCAGCCGTATCCCAATACCTGCAGTGCACACCATTGTTGTCACACTTACCAATTAAAATAGGGTTTTTTTTTTTTTTTTTTTTTTTTTGTAGTAGACGTCAAGAAAATAGTTTTGACTTTCAAAAAATGTAGACTAAAAACTCAAATGTAAAGGCCAAATTTTAAAAATTCAAGAAAATAGTTTTCAACCAAGATCTTAGTTTTCAGATTTCAAATATGTGAAAATAAAAACTGAAAACGAAATGTTTATTGCAAATGACACTTTATTTCAATGACGGAAACAATCATGTTTATGTATCTTGGTGCGGATTCGATCCCCACAAATTCCCCTCACCTTTAGGAACTAACAATTTAACTCACTAGCACTATTGCTAATAAGAAAAATGATAGTCAATATCCGGCAAGCAATAAACAAGAAACAAAAACAAAACCTAAATATCCGGCAAGCAAGCCAACTAGCAGTTAATAAGACAGATTAGCACATTTAACCATCTCATTCTTTATTGGCCAACCACGTTCGAAACCCACTTTTCATGGGACTGAACTTAAATAACTTGTGCTCCCAAAAAGTTAAATTAAAAAAAAATTAAAAATTATACCTGGGTTGTGATGATAAGCAGCCAACCAGCCAGAAGAGAGATTTTCCAGTGATAAAACGCTTTGATTATGTTAACAATCCCAACAGCATAAGCTGAGCCAGCTCCAAAAGCACTTCCGGCATTAGCAAATATGGTAATCAGCACGTGCTCTTTTACGTTAAAAGGACCCGGATTCAACGAAAACGTCCGGGACCCGAATCCGGGTACGTGGAACGTTTTCGTTGGGAGGACTTCGGCCATGAAATAAGTTAACCAATAGGGAGTGTTGATACTTGGACAGTGATTTGGGTGATGATGAGAGGCTCGGTTCTGTAGGAGAAGAATTGGTTGAGAAATGAGAGCATGAGACAAGGCCCAAGAACCACATCCGGAATGTCCATACGGGCAAGGTCGGGTCATCGGTGTTGGTCACCGTAAGACGGACTTGTTCTATCGGAGAAACATCGTCCTTTTCGGTGTCCGGCTCGAGGGAGTGAGTTGGCTTGGGATAGGGTTGCTCTATTTCTAGAGTGCTCATTGAGGATGGGTTGAGAAGTTGAGAGAAATAAAGGAAGACTAAGAGTGTTGAGGTTGGTTTGTTGTTTGGTTTTAGTATAATTTGTAGGAAGGGTGGGGTAGCTTTATTAGTGTTTGTACATTAATTTTAGGTCAATGATTTTTGTGTCTTTTTTTAAGATAATGATTTTGAGTCAATGATGATGGGACTTTTTTTTTTTTTAACAACTGGCATTATCTACACTAAAGAGTGGAGAGCGGGTTAAGCCTCATAATAGGCTTAGCAATAATATGATTCAAATTTGTCTTAGCGAAAATCGAACCTAAGAGCTCTCACTTGCAAATGATACATAATATCATTATACCGCAGTAATCGAATCTAAGACTTCATTATATTTACATTGCATATTTTTGCATATCTCCTTTGCACACTCGATGTGGCGGTGAAAAAAGTTTGAACAGTAACATTTATACATGCCTTGGGGGATCAACTTCAACATGCTTTGTTCGATCATGGTATACCAAATTATATGCAATGTTATGAACAACTTTATTATCACAAAATAATTTCACAGGATGGTCATGCTTTATATCAAAATAGATTAACAGAAGCTTAAGCCACAAAATCTCTTTTACTCTTGCTCCCTCTTTCCGGAGAACCCACCCACGGATTCCATCCCTAATCTGTGACATTATTCTTATGAAAAATCATCAATAGATTCTACCAAGAAGTTAATCTGACGGAAGTTTGATTGAGCTGTGGATATTGAATGGAGAAGATGACTATTTCAATATTGGGCCAAGAGAGAGAGAGGGAGGATGCTAGGGAAATGCACTTATGTTATGAGTAATGCTAGGGAAATCAAAATTTTAAACTAAATTTTGTAAACACGTGGTTGTTGATGATTTGATTGTTACTTAAGTGTGTTTATTTCATGTTGGTAACATATCATTTGATTTACAAATTTGATCTCCCTAATATTATTCCTTATATTATATATACAACAACTAAAAGTCTTCAAATTAACTTCAAATTTCAAAAGTGCTAGGTTTTGTTGGTAGACACCACACCAGATGAGCTCCAAGCTTTAATTAGATAGAGCCTACGAGAATTTTTATCATTATATTGAAGTGCGGTTTCGATACGAAACCTAGAAGAAATCCGTTGAACTAACTATATCTACCAAAACTAACCATATCTACCAAGCAATCGCGACAACTAAGTACAAATGGACTCTTAATAAACTTAAATAACCAAAACAACCTATTGAAAGAATCATTAAAAACAAATAATTCTAAATCACAAACTTAAACCATATGAATGTATGTGTATGGCATACTTAGCGGATGTCTTCGATTTTACTTGACACTTGATCAAAAGCACGTGAGACAAACTTATACTCTCATATTACATTAAAAATATATGCTAATCTAAAATTACAGATTATGTATTTGATTAGGAATTGCCAATTTCTTTTATACTTTATACAAAATGAATTTATAATGACATTTTTTGGAATGATACTTGTAAAGGTACATGGGCAGTGGAAGTTTTAACCATTGTTCGACAGTTTTTGCAGCTGTTCTCGACAAGCCTGAACATATCATAGTATTTGTCGACATATGTTGCCATAAACTTTTGGCAAATATCAATAGTAATTTGTATGTGCCCACCAAGTTCTAAATAAAATGGTCCAATAATATTATTTTTTTTGTCGGAATTATGATCCCGTGTGAAAATTATGGCTCTGCCACTCTAGAGGGGGACATTGCTCATAGCCAATGGATAAAAAAGCAACCCAAATAAAGAGAAACAAAAATTGACAAAGAAAAAAACGTTGGTAATTTAGTGAATCCCTCTTTTCACTCTTTCACCTCACAAAATCCAACAACAAATCCCTCTTTCCTTGTTTATCTCTTAAATCAAAAAAATATAAATGTAATCAATTATCCGAATAATTAAATACTACTTGAACAACATAAATAGAATAGTAATAAGTGATTTGATCAAATATATTATACTTTATTTTTTGAAAAATCAATATATTATAGCTGAAATGGTAGATAAAATAAAAAAAATTGAGCCACTATAAAATCAATTAACAATATAAAAAATATTAAATTATTTATAACAACATGCAAAATCTCGTTCGACGTGAAATTTATTCTCTACACAACAAAGCAAAAGTACAATATTTGTACCAGTATTTTAAACTTGGCTTGTTTCTTCTTTTGTTTTGTTTAATGTATAGATAGATACCTATTCCGCTTTTGAAGGTAATTTTCTTTCTTGTTTTCAACGCCGCTTTGTCTCCCAAACCATCCCATCATCTCTCGAGTTTGACCAAAACAAAAAGGGTACATAAACATGCAGCTGATACGTCAGAATCTTCGTTTGGAATTGTTCAACAGCGTGCGGCTGCTCTGAAACTTTCTGGGTTTTCTGTATTCCGCCGCTTTTTGATGGATTCTGCTGCCTCTCATTTGGTGCGGTGCTGGATTTCTAGCTTCCCAATGAGGTAAAAAGATTATCCATTTCCCCAATTTTCCATCTGGGTTTTTTCTGTATATTGTTGGGGATGATTTGAATATAGTTTTCATGTGTGTTTTCAGGAATTGATGATTTGGGATTATTTGAAATACACGGGCTGTTCAAGTTGATAAGTAATATTGATTTCTGTTTCCATTGGATCTAAAGAGCCGTACCTTTCCTGTATATATTTGACTTCCACCATCTTTGGCGTTTGTAATATATTTGGACCAAAAGTTATTGATTTGACAACATACAGATTTGCAGTTGGGAGGCAGCCTGCAGTTTTTTTGTTGGACCCGAAAAATGATTGGTTAGAGGTTTTATATGATTGGTGGGAAGGTGGATTCAGGATTTTAATGCTTATATTTGACTTTGATATAATTGCAGACTTGTATTGGTAGTTTTAGATTGATCATATTATAAAAGCTATACGACTATGGAGCTACCTGATGAGGAAGCCGTCACAAACGGAGAGGCGGAGGAAATGGACAAAGGGCCCTCTGCGGAGGCTCCTCTTCAGGAGCCCCATTCCTACCGGAGTCATTTTGGGGGGATGGTGAGGAAGAAAGCTTATATCTTTGATGGTCTTGGAAATTTTTACAACAAGGAATGGGATCTTACAGAAGGTAGAGGCAATGAGTTCTGTTGGTACCATGTTGAACTTCCAAAAGGACATCAGAAGCTTTCTCAGTCTGCACAATACCTCATTGGTGTTCTTTGCCCGCCTTTGAAACTCCAGGATATTCTCTCTCTTGTCAGCAATGGACCATTTTGTGGGTATGTTGATGGGGCTCTGGTCTTCAGAGTCAACTCTCCTGGCCCTCCCTCCAGTGATTTCACATTTAGAATTGCTGCTAGAATTACTAAGAATTCAGTGATCACTGTGTCTTTGGGCCGGGTTCCCAGATTGGGTTTCTCACCGGTGGGTCAATCTCTTCTCTCAGAGATTCCTAGTGTGGAGAGTCCCTCATATCATAGAGGTGAGCAGAGGGAAAAGAGCGGGATTGTCATAGGGGAGCATGTTCTTGAGTTCTTATTGACAATGAATCACTCTGAGGAAGCCGATAATCCCGTGCCAAAATCTGTCTCAAATCTTGTAGTTCATATTGTTGACACGCATGTGGACCACCTCCAAGATGTTGTGACTAAACTTGAGATAGAGTTGGATTCTGTTGAGCTTCAGATGGATAAAGGTGAGTTTCATCTACTACGTTTAAGCTACCTTCCGTCTATTAATTGTTCATCCCAGCATACAATGTTTTTTTCTAACAAATTTCTAGTCAATTTCTTATATCTCATCCAGTGTGCAGAAAATGTTTTAAAACTTATGAGTTTCGATTTCATTTCTCACGTTTCTAACCGATAGTGCCGTTCTATATCATAAGCAATTCTAAGTTCAGTTGATTTCGTATACGTTCAGTAGCAGGTGGGACGTACTTCATTGTCCTTTTAGTTATCTGACATGAAATTCTTGAAGACATATTTTCCTTAGACATCATTTTAAACTGCTAATGTTTTGGTAATTGTATTATCTCCCATGTGTAATTAGGACTTTGACGGTGTATATGGAGTTGGTCAAATTCCATATACACCGACTAACAATCCTATCCTTTGTTTTTTGATCTGTTAATGTAGTTGCTTAAAGATAATAATTTTGTGGTCAGTTTTGGTGGTTTTAAGTGAAGTATTTTATATTCTTTCTGTTTTCCTTGCTTAACCATTTCCTCAATTGAGAGATTTGGTAAATTACCATATCAAAAGCGATTGGTGTATACTTTGATAATATGCATCTGGCACAATATACATATGCATGTCCTTCAAATAATGTACATAGTTAGCTCAATACTGAGGTCTTCTATGTATATTTAGAACTTTCTGTGATCGAATAATATGCATCCGTGTTCTGATTTGTAACAGGTGGGCTTGCTTTAAAGAAACAAATGCTGGATGACAGGAGATTTCCTAAAATGCATCTAGATCTGCAGCGGCTCCTACAGGTAGTTTATCAGTCCATCGTTTTCTATAATTTTTGGAACAAAGAGGAACCCAAGTAAAGCATTACTGCTTATTTTGAGAGGCTATGTCTCAACCTTTATGATAGCAAACAACCCAAACAAAGAAACTAGCCCACTGCAAAACTTCTTCCATTTGGATTTTTTATGCTCCTAATGTTTTGGGGCATCCCGACAATTATATACCTGCTAATCCGATGCCCACCCCGCATCATATTGTCCAGAATGGTATTTCCTACCATCCATGCCATTCTTCGTAGTATACCTGACAAATCGGAAGGTGTAGCCGCAATAGCACCTGTTTTATGTCTGCTGGCTTGACCTTTTTTAAAAAGTATGTATGTGCGTAGTTCAACTTTTTTTCCCTATTCACTGAGGAATATTTTGGTTGCTTTTGGCGGATTGCTTACTAGGGCGAGGATAATTGTATATTGCTCTTCCGTTCTTCCAATGGAGCCAATTCCATGAGTATAAAATACTCGATTGTGTGAACGGGGTAGAAATTGTTGCTCCTAACTGATTTAAATTCTCGTTTTAGGAATGACCATGTGGGATAAACCTTCTTGATTGTGCATTTAATATTAATGACCTCAGGTGATTGCTCATGGGGAGCAAGTTTTTCCTCGCGTCAGAGAAAGATGTTCCTCTAAGCAATGGTTTTTGAGTGAAGATATTACCTCTCTTGAAGAGCTGATCGGACGGTTGAGGAGGCTAAAGGAGAATGTAGGCTTTATAGCAAATCGTGTCACGGCGATACAGGCTGGTCTAGACAGTTGGCAAGCTGAGCAGATAAACAGGAAACTGTATTATCTCTCATTCCTATCTATAATATTCCTTCCTTTATCCATCGTGACCGGAGGTACAGTTGTTTGTTGGCATAAATTTTCATTTGCAGGTTTTTATGGGGCATTCTTATATGTTCCATAGTGAGCAAGAAGCTTTTGACGACAAACCACTTGTATCTCTTGCAGTGTTTGGCATGAATGTGGGGGGAGTTCCATGGACGGAACAAAAGGACCCGACGGTGAAAGATGGTTTCCGTAATGTCATGTTACTCTGTGTAGCTATGCTTCTTCTGGCACTTCTCTGCTTCAGCTTTCCTGTTTTTTATACCCGAATAGCTGCTTGGCACAGGAGAAGAGTCATGAAGAGGAGCTGGTCCCTCAACAGGAAGTCATACCTAAAGAGAACCCATGGAATTGAAGCTCAAGAAAGAAAGGGCTACCTCCGCATTTGAGGAAAGCATCTAGATTTGCAGTATGTCCTTTTATTTCTCCGTACTTGGTTTCGCATTCTTTCTTGTTTCGTTTTAACATTCATATCTTGTCATCATTGCCTTAATTCTGTTCTAGTAATCTTGTGTTGCTTTCTTAGTTCATGGGCAATAATATCATTTTACTTTGCCCTAGATCGAAGATTTCGGTTGAGCACTTGCTGTTATCTGGACAACCAAGAGGAAAAGTTGGAGATTTCTCGTTGGAGACGGCCTGTTCTTTTGATGGTTTTGTTTCTTTACTTGATTTATAGTTCCTCCATTTTTTCACCTTGGAGGTCAGCTTGTAAATGTACAGTCTCTTGTATAATATGTTTAATACTGCTGCAGATGGTGTTGTACAATGTCCACTCAAAAGATTAACGGCTTCATGATCATAAGCAAACATTCCTTTCAACTGTAGTAAGGATTTGGGACTCGGGGAATAAGCTGTTTCCAGTTTCATTTCGTTTACGAATTGCTCTTTTTCGACGAAAAAATGAAAGAAAGAATTTAGCAGTTTCAAATGATGAGAATGTTGGTGACTTAACTAGCTGTTATCAGTTTCATTTCGAATGATGCTTGCTGATATTTCAACAAAGTTTAGATGTTTTACATTTTTTTTCTTCGTGTTTGGAGTGTATGATAACCTTTTATCGAGTGTTAATAACAGTTGTCTCTAGGTTTTGCAAAAGAAATTTAATATGGACTTGTATTTTGTTAAAAAAAAAAAACTATATATATAGTAATTAACCATTGCCATTACCCACAATCCAATGCATACTTGAAGAACAAGATTTCTGAAATTGAGAATACCTTTCCAAGCAATAGAAGTTCTCATTTCTTGGGCGTCCATGTATCAGAATTCAACCTTATTACTTGGATTTGGCCCTTAAATTCCCCTTCTCTGACTTCATGAAGGTTAGCTCTCTGCAATTTGAACAAACGATATTATCTATATTAAAAGGGAAGATGAGTTTAGCCTTACAATGGGTTACTTAATAAAGGAAAACTAACGAAAAGTCATCTAAAACTCTAGTTTTAATCAAAGGGAATTGTTATTAATACTTCAAAAAATCTCATTCTACACTCCTCACAAGTGTATTTTTCTTTCTAATTATAGAAAGTTTAGAGTGCTAATAACAATTTCCTAATCAAAATGACAAAATAAAGGTTTAAGTGAATAGTATCAGGAGTGATTTTTCAAGGTAAAAATGTCATTTTCATTAAAAGTGAACATTACAAGTAGTGTTTCATTAAGATTTCCTAATAATAATGTGGTTCAAACTCGTATTTGGCGAGAATCAAACCTAAGACCTCTCATTGACAAGCTCTTTTTTTTTTTTAACAAATGATATTATCTACACTAAAAGGAAGATAATGGACTTAGCCTCATAATGACTAGCAATAATACGGTTCCAATTCGTTTTTGACGAGAATCGAACCTAAGACCTCTCACTCACAAGTGAAAAAAAATACCACTAGACCGTAGTACTAAGTGGCTCCACGCAAACAGGCATAAATATCGTAATGGGACGCAAATTGTCTTAATGAAAGGAATCAAGTTCTTGTCTCAACTGTATTTCAAAATTTCCATTTATCATGTTCATTTAACATTGGTTGATCATATCATGTGCATGCATTAAATTGTATATTTACTTGCATGATTTATGAGATTTATTTAATAATTGAACTCTAATTTTCAAACAACTTACACAAAATTTATTTAATTAGATTCGAACTTAGAAGCTATAAGTGGAACACGTTGCCTTAAACCAAGTTGAATGAACTAAGGGCTGGTTTGGTATTGATGTGCTTTGAAAAAAAGCTGTTGTGAGAATAAGCGGCTGTGCTGTGAGAATAAGCGGCTAAGAAATAAATCAGCAGAGTGTTTGGTAAACTTTTTTGTAAAAGTGCTTTTGGAAAAAAAAAAACAGTCTAATAGTGGGTTTTTTCATTAAAGAAGCACGGTAGCCGTGTGCTTTGAAAAAAAGCCAGTTTTCCAAAGCTGCAAATAGCAGCTTCAGCTTTTTCCTTTGATTTCAGCTTATTCTCACAGCAGCTTCCAAAATAAGCCCTTTTTTTTCAGTTTACCAAACACCTAAAACCCTCACAGCTTTTTTTCATGGGTGCTTTTTTAAGCACCTCACTCCCAAACTAGGTCTAAATCTAAACACATCTAGTTGGACAGTTCGGGGTGAAGCTCAAGAAAGCTTCTTCATCCCATTCCCACTAAAGTAGGCAGGCACATGACCAAGGGAAAAGTCAGATCAGACCTCCTCCTTTGGCCACGTAGCAAACAGCTTACCCGACGTCGTCTCGCCGATACAAACCACAAATGACAAAAGCCCTCACGGCGCCGTTTCGTGTAAGCAGATAGATCCAGAACCTTCCATACACATCCTCCGCTCATTTTTCCGCCTCATAAAGCAACACTTTCTCCCCAACAAAAACCCTAAACCCTAACTCAAAACCCTCTATCGTCTTTTCTCGACCTCCTCGTCTCTCTCTCTCACTTTGCTCTAGTCAGCCATGGCCACCGCCGCCTTGCTCCGCTCGCTACGACGCCGTGATGTCGCATCGGCTCCTCTCTGCGCCTACCGATCCGTACGTCTCTTTACTTTTTCTGAGATTCGGTTTTAAGTTCCCAACCTGTCACTCTCGCCACTCAATCATATCTCTGTTTCATCTGTTTTTTGGCTGAAAGTTATGAGATTTTCAGCTTGTTGTAGAATTTCTTAATTTTATTGAGTATTTGTTTGGTATGATCCGATAGAATTGAACAAGTAAAAGATTTATAATTCAATATTTGAATTTTTTGGGGCTTCTGTGTTATTTTGTCGGTTCGATTGAGTAATGATAGATACCTTTTCTTGATCTGTTATTTACGGCGGCGGCGTATTGTTGTTTTTGTTGTCAATTCAGATTACAAGCTTTATGTTTTTTTCTTTTATCTTGCATATATCACTGCAATTCCGTTGTTGCAGTTTGCTTTTTTGTTCTGATTAATTGGAGCTAATTGATGAAATGGGTTGGAGTTGGACGCTTGGGTATAAATATAGATGAATTGAGGCTTGGTATAATAGCTCGATATGAATCGTGGTGATTACTTACGTGATTTATGTTTTTGCAGTTGAACAGTGTGTCTAAGTCGTCGCATCTAGCTCAAAAATGGGCAAGCTTGGCAAGACCTTTCAGGTATTTTGGGCATTCCCTCGTACATTACGTTACTATGTCATTCATTTTGTATTTTGGATTTTGTTTCTAATTGTATCCTGTAATGTGAATAGTTCCAAACCTGCTGGAAATGATGTTATTGGCATTGACTTGGGTACAACCAACTCATGTGTGGCGGTGATGGAAGGAAAGGTAAGGGCCGTTTACAAGTTCTTGTTGATGTTCTGACTCAAATTATTGTTTAAGCTTTATGCGCATGTGGTTTATGTCTCATTAAGTGTGAAATTGTTATAGAACCCCAAAGTGATTGAGAATTCCGAAGGAGCTCGAACCACACCATCAGTAGTTGCTTTCAACCAGAAAGGAGAACTATTGGTTGGTACTCCAGCAAAGCGTCAAGCTGTTACCAACCCCACAAACACTGTTTTTGGAACCAAGCGTCTGATTGGTAGACGCTTTGATGATCCCCAAACGCAAAAAGAAATGAAGATGGTTCCATACAAGATTGTAAAGGCTCCAAATGGAGATGCTTGGGTTGAAGTCAACGGACAGCAGTACTCCCCAAGCCAAATTGGAGCCTTTGTTCTAACAAAGATGAAAGAGACTGCGGAGGCTTACCTTGGAAAGAGTGTCTCAAAAGCTGTGATTACAGTTCCAGCTTATTTCAATGATGCACAGAGACAAGCAACCAAGGATGCTGGCAGAATTGCAGGTCTAGATGTTCAGAGAATCATCAATGAGCCAACAGCTGCTGCACTTTCTTATGGTATGAACAACAAGGAAGGGCTAATAGCCGTGTTTGATCTTGGTGGTGGAACGTTTGATGTATCCATTCTCGAGATATCCAATGGCGTTTTTGAGGTTTGCTACTTTCCTAGTAAGCTAAATCTTTTAATTTTCCTTCATTTTGGACAATATTGTCATCAACTTTTTCTTATCTAGGTGAAAGCAACAAACGGCGACACATTCTTGGGAGGAGAGGACTTTGACAATGCTTTGTTGGACTTCTTGGTGAGTGAATTCAAGAGGACGGAGGGTATTGATTTGGCAAAGGATAGGCTCGCCTTGCAGAGGCTTAGGGAGGCAGCTGAGAAGGCTAAGATTGAACTTTCATCAACATCTCAAACCGAGATAAACCTTCCCTTCATCACAGCTGATTCTTCAGGTGCTAAACATCTGAACATCACATTAACTAGATCCAAATTTGAAAGTCTGGTGAATCACTTGATTGAGAGGACAAAGGCCCCGTGTAAGAACTGTTTGAAGGATGCTAATACATCCATTAAGGATGTGGATGAGGTTCTTCTTGTTGGAGGGATGACACGTGTTCCCAAAGTGCAAGAGGTCGTTACAGAAATATTTGGAAAGAGCCCAAGCAAAGGAGTGAATCCTGATGAGTCTGTTGCTATGGGAGCTGCCATCCAAGGAGGTATCCTTCGTGGGGATGTGAAGGAGTTGCTTCTTTTGGATGTTACTCCTCTGTCACTAGGTATTGAAACATTAGGTGGAATCTTCACCAGGCTGATTAGTCGCAACACGACAATTCCGACCAAGAAGAGTCAGGTCAGTCATTAAAGCCAAACATATCTCAGATTACATTGACTAGGTGTGTTGTGTCAAAGGGCAATTTTTGAGGGAAGCATTTTGTTTGTTTTTTATCTTCTAGCTAGAGTTAATTACATCTTTTCTAATTAGAATTAATATGACTGGATCGTTATGCGTTTTAACCTTGCCTCTGTTAGCCTTAGAGTTTGATCTGACTAAACATTTTGCCAAAGTATCAGATTCTTTTCTTTTGTTGTGGATCTTGTGTTCCTAATTTTGATAAGTATCATTGCAGGTGTTTTCGACTGCAGCTGACAACCAAACCCAAGTGGGTATCAAGGTGCTACAAGGAGAGCGTGAGATGGCTTCTGACAACAAGATGTTGGGAGAGTTTGAACTTGTAGGCATTCCTCCTGCACCAAGAGGCCTGCCTCAGATCGAAGTCACCTTTGATATTGATGCCAATGGTATTGTCACTGTTTCTGCCAAGGACAAGGCCACCAACAAAGAACAGCAGATTACTATCCGCTCATCTGGAGGTCTAACTGACGAGGAGATAGAAAAGATGGTCAGGGAAGCAGAGCTGCATGCTCAGAGAGATCAGGAGAGGAAAGCATTGATTGACCTCAGAAATAGTGCGGATACAACGATCTACAGTATTGAGAAGAGCTTGAACGAGTATCGTGACAAGGTTCCAAGTGAAGTTGCCAAAGAAATTGAGGATGCGGTAGCAGATTTGAGGAAGGCAATAGGAGAGGACAATGCCGACGAAATCAAGGCCAAGCTTGATGCCGCAAACAAAGCTGTT